CATACCTGTGGATCTGTGAAGAGATCTAAGAGGGGCTAGACTTGGTCAATGCCTTATAAGTATGGGTTAGCATTTTTAATTGACTCGTATAGGATACAGGAAGCCAATGTAAGGACAGACAGAGGGGTGAGGTGTAAGAGGACCGACTAGAGAGGAAAATCAGTCTGGTGGCAGCATTCATTACACACTGTAGCGGGGCAATACGGTTTTTCGGAAGACCAATTAGGAGAGGGCTGCAATAATCCATGCAGGAAATTACTAGAGCATGGACAAGTTCTTTGGTAGCATACAAAGACAGAAAAGGTGTATAAATGGCGCTATAGATAAAACAATGTATATAAACCAGTGCGTCTCAAACCACACAAGTGTTATGTCACCTTAAACACTTACATCAAGTTTGCATACAAAAGAGAGAGGTTGGCGCACACAATGGATAACTTTGCAACAATCTGTAATAAATAGAACAGAACCTTCATAGGGCAACATATATGAGAAAATAATCAAATATAAGTGTAACTGGAAACACTCACAATTTTGAGAGCCATATAAGTCGGATCTCTACTGTAGAGAGTCAAAAATGGGTCGCAAGAGAATACTGAGAATTGGCGGCAGGTTAAATAGCCTGCCCTTCGGTCGGTCCCCGCTCAGTTCTCAAGCTGATTTTTGCTCATCTTGTGCCATTACAGAGAGAACATCTCTGAAACATATCAGACTGGTCCCACCCATACAGGCAGTCCAGATCCGAAATGCCAGCAAGTTCCCTCTGCACATGAGACATAGCAGCCTCAGACGATCGTTTCAGCCTTGTTAGGCATCATCAGTGAGGCATAGCTGATATCTCCCTAGGCACCGTGAGCAAGGGGTCCATGTCTGGATTATCCCTTTAAACGTGTGGAGAGTCAAAAATGGATCTCTACTGTAGTAGCATGTAAGTAATTCCAATACGACAAATAGCCACAATGATGATGGTCCCCCAGGAAAAAGAAAGCTTCAACTTCACCTGGATAGAAGTTCAGGAACCAAGGATAGCTAAAATAGCTCTTTATTAAATGAAGGTAAACATAAAAAGTACTAGCACAACGCGTTTCAACCAACACACTGGTCTTCCTCAGGTGCAATAAAATCAAATGAAAATAACAGGTTTAAATACCTTGCAAACAGAGTAAAAATACAAAACACATGCAAATAATTACAGAAACCCCTCCCAATATGTCCATATATGGTAGTTCCGTTTGTACCATTCCTCCTCCAGTATGGTGGATATGTGATATGTCCTCACTGATATCCATAGGGAACCGACCTCTTCATAATGGCCACACGGACAGGACGCCGGTAGCAATCACGTGACTTCCGTCATTACGACGGAACGTCACTTCCGGTTTGTGTCATGACATCACTTCTGGTTAGCGTTCATTCGGGAAAGGGAAGGGGCGGTACACCCTCACCATACTTAGTTTCAATCAGGAGAGCGTAGTTAATATGTCCTAACTGGTCCGAAAAACTCATAATCCGCCATATTTGTAATGGGAAAAGACAAGGCAAGAGAGGGCAAGGAGATAAATAGAATTAATGCGATGTTATAAAAGACAAAAACAGAGCAAATTGCAATCTAATCATAAAAAAAATAAGAATAAAAGAATACAGCATATATAAATACTAAAATAAAAAATCCAAAATAGGGAAGCACATATAAAACATAAAAATAATTGGAACGTATTAAATATAATCAATAATAAAATATATATATATAAAACATATATAATGAGGAACTACAAAGATACTATATACAAAATGTATTATAAAATATTTTAAAAATTTATAAAATTGGTCCAATATCAAAATCAATATTTAGTCCTTTTGGAAATAACGTTTGTAAATCAAAAATCCATGAACTCTCTTTTTTATTAAGATTTAATGCCTTCGCATATCATCATGAGGTCTGTTCTAATGGGGTTCATCTTGGATAAAACTTTGTGTAGGAAATTTCTTTGTTGGGAGTTGGGACTGTATACGTTCACTATTGTATAGGTGATGTCATTGATTGTGCACAAAATCATAAAGTATCTACCTTGGCTATTGATTATGAGTTTGAGTAATTTAAACGACAGTGATTTGTGGATGAGTATGGAGACGCCTCTGGCCTTAGAGGTGTGTGCCGCATGAAATTGCGTTGGGAATTCCCTGGTGACAAATTGGGGGACTCTGAGTTTAACAAAATGTGTTTCTTGTAGGCAGACAATGTCTTCGAAAGCTCTTTTGAGATCTTCTAGTAATTTGCGTTCTTTATGGGGAGTGTTGAGACCCCGAGCATTCTGGGAGTAAATTTTCATATGAGGGCTTGCTGATGTAGGGGAGTGGTGTGTCAAAGCCATGTTCCTGTTGCGTTTGGGGTTTTCAGCCAGAGAGAGACTAGCCATTTGTTTGTTTGAGGTCTATTGTCGGAATCAGTTGATAGGGTCGTGTTCCTAAGCTCTCCATAGGTAGGGGGAAAGAACTTGGGGGATTGGGGTGGGAGGGTTGGGTCATCTAACAACCTGGTAGAGGATTAATCTATACAAGTTGCCCCGCCATGGGGGAACGGTGCCTATGGCATGCACCATGGGGGTGTCCGTATCTAGTATATGGTTTGTGTGGCTATCCGGGCTCGAGGTGGAATGCAGTTTAGGTGGTGATGGTAGCTAAACCTCAGTGTGGGTGACCACTTGCAAGACATAACATTAGGCGATAAAATAAATCAATAATATTGATCAATAAAACATATCAAACATAATATTTGGTGAGTTGGTTGGTGTTGTGGGTGGCAATGTAACCAGCCCCGTTCTGTGACGTAGTGGATTTTATGTGCGAACATCTTTTGTAGTTCCATGTGTCTGGGTTATCTGCCCCCTGAAGTCTGTAGAGTGCCTATCACCAGACCATTGTTCCCCCATCCCTGCCCCACCGGTGCGCGCCTCCACCAAGAGGGAGCAAAGGGCCTGGGTTACACCCTAGGGTTATGACCCTTTTAAATATTTTAAACGACTTTGTATGGGAAGAAGAGTATCTTTTAATTACATGTGATGTGACTAGTCTGTATACTATTATAAAACAACGGCAAGGACTTGAGGCTGCAGAGTATTATTTAAAACAATCTGGGGAACTTACAGAAGCACAAATTTAATTTTTAATTAAATAAATTTTAATGATCTTAACGAATAATTATTTCTGGTTTGATAATGATTTTTATCTCCAGATTTGTGGAACAGCTATGGGGACCAAGTTTGCCCCAAGTTATGCTAATTTATTCATGTCATATTGGGAAAGGACTTTTAAAGATCAAGGACATGAATATGGGGCAAACTTGGTCCTCTATAAAAGATACATTGATGATATTTTTATAATATGGAAAGGAACAGAAAATGATTTTAATATATTTTTTTAATTATCTTGATCAAAATGAATGGGGCATTAAATTAACTAAGAATGTTAGCCACAATTCTATAGATTTTTTAGATTTAAATATTTTTACTCATGACAATCAAATCAAAACTAGGACTTTTTTTTAAACAAGTATATATTAACAGTTTTATAGAAACGAAAAGTTGTCATTATGATCCGTGGTTATGAAATATACCTAATGTAGAGTTTTTACGTTTAAAACGAAATTGCTCAGAACAAATTGATTTCCATAACCAATCATCCCTCCTGAAAAAACTATTTATACAAAAGGGTTATCAAGAAGAAATGCTTAATGATAGTATTAAAAACTTTGATCATATTAACAGATCAGAATTACTTAGATATAAAGTATAAAAGGAGACAGACAAAACCAATCAAATTCCCTTTATTTTTAATTATTGTACTAATAAAGGCACTTTGAAAAAAGTTATAAATAAAAACTGGCATATTCTTCAACAAGAACACGATATTAAAGATTTTATAGGCCATAAACCTAAATTTATTTTTAGAGGTGCTAGAAACATGAAACAAATTTAAACATCAAGTTTTGTAGATGGTGAAAAGGAACAGACATTTCTAGACGATTGGTCTAAAAAACAAAAAGGATTTTTTCATTGTGGGAATTGCAATGCTTGCAGGGCCGTCTATAATATGATTAGGACCCTGGGCAATGCATTTTCTTGGGCCCCATGGGCCCTGTCCCTGCCACTGCCTCACCCCCCAATTACGTCCAACCCGCAATCACACTGACAGACGTACTGGCACATACACACACAGACAGACATTAAAACATTCACAGATACATACTGACACACAAAATCACTACACACAAATATATACTGGCAGACATACTGACACACACACAGACATACATACATACACAGACACATACATTAACAGATATACTGACACACACACAAACACACTGACAGATATACTAAAACATACAGACACATGCACTGACAGACACATTGACACACACACACAGGCATACTGACATATACACACACACACGCATACTGACATATACAGAGACAGACGTAATGGCTGATACAGACAGACATTAAACATTCACAGATATATACTGACACACACATACACTGACATACAAATATATCCTGGCAGACATACTGACACACACACACACACAGACATACATACACACACATACACTGACAGACATACTGACTGACACACACATACACTGACAGACATACTGACTGACACACACATACACACACAGACATACTTACATACACACACAGACATACTGACACACAAAGACATGCTGACACACAAAGACATGCTGACACACACACACAGACAGACTGGCACATACACACAGACAGACATTAAAACATTCACAGATACATACTGACACACACATACACTGACACACAAATATATCCTGGCAGACATACTGACACACACGTACACACACACAGACATACTGGCATACACACAGACATACTGACACACACAGACATACTGGCATACACACAGACATAATGACACACACAAACATACTGGCACACACACAGACATACTCACACACACGCACACTGACATACACACACAGACATACTGGCATACACACAGACATACTGACACACACACACACACACACTGATATACACACACAGACATACTGGCATACACACAGACATAATGACACACACAAACATACTGGCATACACACAGACATACTGACACACACACACACAGACAGACATACTGGCATACACACAGACATACTGACACACACAGACATACTGGCATACACACAGACATAATGACACACACACACATACTGGCATACACACAGACATACTGACACACACACACACACACACACACACACAGACATACTGGCATACACACAATCATACACACACACACAGACCTACTGACATACATTTAGCCACCCTCCAGGTTCTTACCTTTTTCTGGAGGGTGGTTTCCCTGGTCCAGTGGCAGGCTGAGGCAGATGGGAGTTCTCTTCTGGAACTCCCCTCCTCCCTGCCTTCCTCCTCCCGCGCTGCTATCTCCGATGGGAGGAAGTGACGTCACTTCCTCCCAGCCGGCTGCAGAACCGGAAGAGGGGCCCGGTCGCGCTGTTTAAGCGCCACAGCGCCCGACCGGGCCCCTGCTGACACATGCTCCCCGGGTGGCCCTTAGTGCATGGGCCCCCCGGGGAGCCTCCTCAGTGTGCGGGAGCCGCACCGCCCGGTCCATAGGGGCTGCGCAAATCGCGGGGCCCACAGAGCAGCTGCTCTGGGCCCCCAGGAGCAACTGGGCCCGGGGCAGCTGCCCCGTTTGCCCCGCGTTAAAGACGGCCCTGCTCTCATTTCATCAGTCCATAAAACCTTAGAAAAATCAGTCTTGAGATATTTGACGTTTCAGCTTGTGTGTCTTGTTCAGTGGGGGTCGTCTTTCAGCCTTTCTTACCTTGGCCATGTCTCTGAGTATTGCACACCTTGTGCTTTTGGGCACTCCAGTGATGTTGCAGCTCTGAAATATTGCCAAACTGGTGGCAGTGGCATCGTGGCAGCTGCACGCTTGACTTTTCTCAGTTCATGGGCAGTTATTTTGCTCCTTGGTTTTTCCACGCGCTTCTTGCGACCCTGTTGACTATTTTGAATGAAACGCTTGATTGTTCGATGATCACGCTTCAGAAGCTTTGCAATTTTAAGAGTGCTGCATCCCTCTGCAAGATATCTCACTATTTTTGACTTTTCTGAGCCTGGCAAGTCCTTCTTTTGACCCATTTTGCCAAGGAAAGGAAGTTGCCTAATAATTATGCACACCTGATATAGGGTGTTGATGTCATTAGACCACACCCCTTCTCATTACAGAGATGCACATCACCTAACATGCTTAATTGGTAGTAGGCTTTCGAGCCTATACAGCTTGGAGTAAGACAACATGCATAAAGAGGATGATGTGGTCAAAATACTCATTTGCCTAATAATTCTGCACTCCCTGTATTATTGCTGTGGAGCTGTTATATACAGACAAATTACTGGGAGTATTATTGCTGTGGAGCTCTGTTATATACTCAGACACATTACTGGGAGTATTATTGCTGTGGAGTTCTGTTATACACTCAGTCACATTACTGGGAGTATTATTGCTGTGGAGCTCTGTTATACACTCAGACACATTACTGGGAGTATTATTGCTGTGGAGCTCTGTTATTCACTCAGACACATTACTGGGAGTATTATAGCTGTGGAGCTCTGTTATACACTCAGACACATTACTGGGAGTATTATTGCCATGGAGCTCTGTTATACACTTAGACACATTACTGGGAGTATTATTGCTGTGGAGCTCTGTTATACACTCAGACACATTACTGGGAGTATTATTGCTGTGGAGCTCTGTTATACACTCAGACACATTACTGGGAGTATTATTGTTGTGGAGCTCTGTTATACACTCAGGCACATTACTGGGAGTATTATTGTTGTGGAGCTCTGTTATACACTCAGGCACATTACTAGGAGTATTATTGCTGGGAGCTCTGTTATACACTCAGACACATTACTGGGAGTATTATTGCTGTGGAGCTCTGTTATACACTCAGACACATTACTGGGAGTATTATTGCTGTGTAGCTCTGTTATACACTCAGACACATTACTGGGAGTATTATTGCTGTGGAGCTCTGTTATATACTCAGACACATTACTGGGAGTATTATTGCCGTGGAGCTCTGTTATATACTCAGACACATTACTGGGAGTATTATTGCTGTGGAGCTCTGTTATACACTCAGACACATTACTGGGAGTATTATTGTTGTGGAGCTCTGTTATACGCTCAGACACATTACTGGGAGTATTATTGCCGTGGAGCTCTGTTATATACTCAGACACATTACAGGGAGTATTATTGCTGTGGAGCTCTGTTATACACTCAGACACATTACTGGGAGTATTATTGCTGTGGAGCTCTGTTATACACTCACTCACATTACTGGGAGTATTATTGCTGTGGAGCTCTGTTATACACTCAGACACATTACTGGGAGTATTATTGTTATGGAGCTCTGTTATACACTCAGACACATTACTGGGAGTATTATTGTTATGGAGCTCTGTTATACACTCAGACACATTACTTGGAGTATTATTGCTGTGGAGCTCTGTTACACACTCAGACACATTACTGGGAGTATTATTGCTGTGGAGCTCTGTTATACACTCAGACACATTACTGGGAGTATTATTGCTGTGGAGCTCTGTCATTCATTCAGACACCTTACTGGGAGTATTATTATTGTGGAGCTCTGTTATCCGCTCAGACACATTACTGGGAGTATTATTGCTGTGGAGCTCTGTTGTACACTTTGTCTGTCAGACACACCAACAATATGGAGCTCCTAGAAAAGAGTTGTAAGCTCTCCTGTACTCACCGGTCAGCTGTTGCTCTGATACGGCGGACCGTTGCTTCCACGCAGCATAAAGCTCCGGTCAGCCTCCTGGACGCCAGCCGATGTGCGCCTTCCCTTTTCAATGACGCGGCACACGCAGGCCAGCGTCAGGACGTCAGGGGAGCTCTAAGTAGAAGAGCTCATTGCACTCTCACATTTTGGGCACAGTGCCCTGTTGTGGTTCCTAGTGTCCTAATAGTTTGTACCTTGCTTTGTTTGTTGTATTTTGGTATTGACCCGGCTTTTCTCTTGACTACTCTGTTACTCTAGTTTCTTTGACTCGACTCTGTTTCTCGTTTTTGTGATATTTTGGCTTCCCTTGGCCTTGGCTTGTTCTGACGTTCCTATTTTT